ACCCTTAAAAAGACCACCCTGAAGGCTTCCCCCTAGGCAGATCACCCAAGTGTTGAGTTGCCATAACTTAATAAACAAACAAACAAGTAAAAGCAGAGATCTGTATATGGAAATTTGATAAATTAATTTTAAGTTTTTTCGTAATGTGATGCAAATATGACATTATACTTGTGTCCAATTATCGGGATCACCTGTAGGAACTACATTAATTAACAGTTAACAGAACTATGAGTTTAGTAAACCTCTTTTGTGAGACAGGAACCTCCCGATATTTGCCTGTTACAATGAAAAAAATATATATATAAAAATATAAAATGTTTTTTTGTATATTGCAAACTTTTTTCCATATATGTTTTCATGATTTATCTCTAAAGCAAGATATAATACCTACAGGATGAAACAATGAAATGGAATGAAGAGGATGAAGTGTCAAATGCTTTTAGTATATATGATTTACATTTCTGTTTACAATTTATCATAATTGTTTTTAATAAGTTGAGATACATATAGAATAGATATGTACTGTAAACCATTATAATTTTGATATTGATCATATGTTGTCCACTTGTCCTAGATCATAAAATAGAAACAAACTGGATTACAGCTGAAAAGCCTGTAACTATCATGTTCTAATTATTTTGTTTATTTTCTCCAGAATAGAAATGAACAACTCCTGTGACTTGTAGGATTCTAATATGTGGCCACTGAGCCTTTGGCAATGTAATTTTATTTTACTGTTTACTGACATTATATGACCCTAATTTTAAGCTGATATTTGTGACAATGAACATTCAAACTAAACTTGATCAATTAAAAAGATGAGAAAAAACTATATATTACTAGCTTGCATAACATTAGCATGTGTTATTTTAGTACCTAGTGTATGGGCAATTGTGGAATTGGTACCAACAGACTTAAAGCCTGTTACTCTGTAAGAATAAGCATGCAGCCTGCCAGAAGCCAGAGCCGGCCCTACCATAGGGTGAACGGAGCAGTCGCTCCAGGCGCTAAGTCCTAGGAGCTGCCTCATTGGTATAGAAAATTAAAGAGTATAAATTAGGGGCAACCAAGAGGGGCGCCATAATGGGATCTCGCTCCATCCTAAAACTTGCCTCGTGCCGGCACTGCCAGAAGCCTATGATGATCACTTTTGGCCTACATCCAGAAAAGGCTGTTTATGTGTCCTAGAAGAATTCCATGTTAAATTACACACGAAATATTAAGAAATCTACCCAAATTTTAATATTTTAATTAAAATATAACTCATATTACTGAAATATATTCCTTAAGTACTGTTTTGAAAAAATAGTTCATGTTTTGAAAATAGAAGTACTTTCCATCATTAGACAGACAAAAGATTTAATAATAAGATTAAGTAACTGAACTATTTAAAACAAGCTAAATTGAATATTGTGTTGACTATGTCAGTAGCTAATTATAATATAAAACTTTACATTTCTTAGATTACCCTCTAGATTATTCTTAGGATGGAAATAACTGAAAGTGTTAAGTATAATAAATTAATTTTTTACTGTGACATGAATTATTTGGGAATATAATTTAGTAATATGAATTGAATACTTTGGAAAATAATACTGATGTCTTAAAATACTGAAATTTTTATATGCAATTGATTGATGCACAAGTGGTCAAGTTAATGAAATTAGCCTGCTTTCTAAGAATGCAGATTTGTCTAGATTGAAGCCTCAGAAATATTCATGGATTGTTTCAGCAGAATTGTCTTCATTTGTGTGGAACTTTGCATTTGCACAAGGCTCTGCATTTAGAGAGCCTTGCACTTGGTTAATGCATTGCGCTAGGCATTTTCAAAAAGACTGCATTTATACTTTGCACAGGCTTCACAAAATATGCAGTTGATTGTGAATAGTTAGATCTATGTATGTTAGGCTCTATATATATATATATATATATATATATATGTGTGTGTGTGTGTGTTTAAAGGTGTGAGTCAATGTTATGACTAATATCTAATATCTAGCATGTACACTTGGCCTAATATGTCAAAAGATATATCCACTTTTGTAAATAGCTGTGGGGTATGCCAGTTTAATAAAATGAACCATTGTTGAAAGTACGGAGAGTTGTCCCACTTCCCAGCCACAGATCCTTTCGATGTTATAGCAATTGATACAGTAGGAGGTTTTAAGGGATACAATTCGAAGAAACAATATTTACATCTGACGATCAACTTTGTCACTCAGTATTTATGGACATTAAGCTCCAGAACTCAAACTGCCAGGGACGTTGTGAACTTAATAAACAGTGTCATACAAATACAAAGACCAAAAATGATATTAGCAGACTGGTATGCAAGAATTAAGTCAAAAGAATTCATACGTTTTCTAGAAAAACAAGAAATAAAATTAACTTTTATATCTTCCAATTATCTGGCAAGTAATGGTTTATGTGAAAGGGTTAACCAAACCATCGTAACCCGGTTATGCTGCAAGATGAACAAAAACAGTTGGAGTAAATTACTGAAAACAGTAATGGAAGAATATAACAACTCCCCTCAGTAACGGATTTTTCACCAAAATATCTCATGTTTGGCATTCCATCATTCCCCCAAGTCATACCGAATGCTCTCCCGCCAGTCAAAGAAGCTAGAAAATTGGCTTATGAAAGTACTCAAAGGAAGCAGGAAGTGAATAAGAATTATTATGATAACAGATACCAGAAGGTAATGTTAAACCCAGGGACCTATTATTAGTTGAAAATAAAATTGCAATCATGCAGAAAAAATTAGAACCTCTCATGTCTGGCCCATATAGAGTAATAAGGCAAGTATCAAATGTACTACTGTATATCAAATAGAATGAGGAAAGAAGGGAAAACCGCCAGACATTGCCCATATATCCAAGTTACGTTTATACAAAAATCCACTCTTGGATCTACAAAGCAGAGGGATATAAAGGTGTGAGTTATAAAAGAAAAAAGCATCTGGCAACACCAGAACAGCAACAAGATCTGGCAACACTGAAAGAGAAGTTTTAAGAACGTGAAGGAAGGACCACATGTTAATGACAGAAATAAAAAGGCAGGAAAAGAAACTTACATATATATATAATATATATAAACATCCCAAAGCGTGATATATTAATAATAAACCAAATTATCACTGTAATTAATCAGGCTAATTAATTAGTAACTATTTCAATTATTAAATTTAATAAAAGATGGTGCCTTATACTTGTGGTTTTTGGGTTGTTGCTTTTATCTTTCGTCGCTGTGTGTGAAAGAAACGAACGAGACAAGATCGTAACAAAAACTAAACTTTTATTGTCCTTCTCGCGTACTTGGTACAGCACATGTCTCGACGACGAGGCTAACAAAGACAACTGGTTTTTGACGGTCTTGTGGGGTGAGTTCGAATTTATTCCAGGAAGTGATGAGTCATACACCCGGGGGTAATTGCTTGTATTTTACAACCGTTAAGGGTACAGATGTGAAGGGCGGCTTTCGCCACACACTTACCAAATTACTTAATAGTTAATACATTAATAATAGCACTTAATTAGCCCAATTAATTATAGCAATTGTTTGGTTTATTGTTAGGATCTGTTCCTCACTATACAACTTCCTCTATTTTGGGCCTGGTTGAATTCATGTTGACTGTGAGAAAGCTTTTTTCAGTATCCATGATGTTAAAAGTGTTATTAGGAAAATAAAATAAAAAGTTGTATATTTTATGTGATAAGGAAACATCCATAAATTATGTAACACTATTTTCATACATTTCAACTATCATCCCTCATTTATAACACTCCATAATGCTATTGTACATCCTCATTCTCAAAATCCCAACTCCTCTAAACCTGTTACCTAAATCTGTTGCTGTCAGGCCAGCGACAGATTTAGCTCCTTCTGGTTGACGCATGCGGCTATTTGGCCGGCTTTATAAATGGCTATGGATTCTAGCCATTTAAGATTGTCCTGGTGGGGTGTGCTGACAACTGTAGCTCTATGTATTGCTATGTATGCATCCGATCCAGATGTTGAAGCACAGTTTGATAGAGCTACAGTCATTGTCAGGACACCCCACCAAGACCACCTTAAATGGCTAGAATCCATAGCCATTTATAAAGCCGCCCAAGTAGCCACATGCATCAACCGGAAGGAGGAGCTAAATCTGTCACTGGCTTGGCAGTCCCTATTAGATGCCGACCCATGGCTACCTCCACCAGCTCACGACCGCGCATGTCAAGTGAGACTGACTTTGTCAAAATGACATTCGATCCCATCGAATTCCACACACACTGTTCATAAGCATTCCTAAGCTACTTTACCTGAGGAAGAACTAAGAGATAGTTCGAAAACATTTGTCACTTGCTATATACATCTTATACACGTTGCGCACCAGTAACAGGTTTAGGGAAGTTGGGATTTTACTCTGGTGCTGAACTTAGAATGAACTTTGTGGCTCATTCTCAAAATTATGTAATGCACATCCTCAATCAATTCACATAATTATACTAAGGAATAATACACAATATTGGGTACAGAAAATTAAATACATAAACAATACAGTATCTATACAACATTTCAGAAACAAAAATGAATCATGAGATCCTTGCAGTACTTAATGTTTTTGTAAATACCCCATCTCCTGTAATACTGCATAACCATTCACTTGTATCTGTGTCACGTAACTTTTATACAGCCCTTAAAATATTGTGGTATTTCAGGAAAATTAATGGAATAGTTAGAAACATATTATATAATACAATATACAAGGTCTGTTCAAAAAGTATCGGACCTTTTTATTTTCCGCGTAAACCAATGATGCGAGAGAGGCCTTCTTCGGTGGAGTTGTGGAGGGGACAGTCATGCACAGCCCTGAATTTTTTCCCGCCTGCAGNGATAGTTTGGCATATTATTAAAAACATCAGTCTTTGAGATAATTATAGATGTACAAAATTTGATTTTAAATAAGATATATATTAATGAATTATTTAAGGAATATGTTGTTTATTTTATATTACAGTTGAAGGAAATTCAAATTAACGTCAATTCCAGGAAAGGGAATTCATATACCTCAGTATTAGATGAGACGACAAATATTCCACTATATTTATTATGGAGTAATGGAATTATTGAAAAAATATATACAAATAACAATGATATTTCTAATATACTAAAAGGAATTGCTAGTAATTTTCAATTACAAACAATTGAAACAACTAGCACAGAGATTTCAGAGGTAAATTTACAATTTACATAGATATATGTATATTTACATACATGGTATACATGCTTTGTATATTAAAAATATTTTAAAATTAATAGGTAGATGTTTCTGGTGAATGTAAAATGAAATATAAAATAAATGGAAATAAAATTCAAAAACAGAAAGTTTTTTGTACTTATCCTGAAGAAGATTTACATCATTTACATTCTAACAAGGTTTGTATGTTTTTATAGAAATTTGTATATCCATTTTTTTAATAAATATGTCCATGAATTTCTCTTTTATTGGAATACAGAGTCATTAATACAGCTCCAAATACTTTTTCACTCCAGTTCATTGAATTTTAGAGGTTCCCACATAACTTACTATTGAATATTAGACTCTATTGTGTAAATGAACTCTCCAATAGATTCATAAAATTATTTGATAATACAAAGAAATAAATATATAATTTCATTTAATTTATAATATTTGTTTATTAGATTTCTTTCATTTAAATACAGTTTATACAAATTTTGTAACGTTATTATAATGCAGTTATAACATATTTATATGTGTATTATGATGACCTGACTACAGAATTGAAGCAAACTTTTCAATTTGTCAGATTGTACATTTAACTTTACTTAGTATGGAGATGTTTCATTTTGCCAGATTTTAATTAAATTTTTTCTTTAGGCAAGAGCATACCTGTAGTATAGTGATATTAGGCAATTTGTTCATAATTAAATTAAAGTAAATTATAAAATAACAGTTGTTAGTTCTTATATGTTGATTCAAGTGGTGTAGCTTTTTTAAATAAATTATTAAAAAATATATAACATAATTCAAATATTAGACTAAGGATATATAACATAATTCAAATATAGACTAAGGACTGTTATTAATTCAACATGAATTAATAACAATCCTTAACAATATTGGCTGAACATAAAATCATTTTTATTTTCTTCATTGATTTTTATGTTAGTCCTTTATGATTTTATTTGTTAATTATTGAATAATTTTGTTGAATTCAAAATCGTTTTTATAATCGCTAATTTTGTACTCGAAGATTCTGACATATCTTGCATGAATTAATTAAATTATGTTCTTTTATCTAAATAAAACATATATTTAAATGATAATTGAAAGAATTTGCATTAAAAATAGACATTTTATCATCTGTTAATAATTTTAGTGATTTAAATTTTAATTTTTGATTATGTACCTTGATAATATGGAAAAGAATAGTTTAAATTAGAATTTGAACATATGATATTGAAGATCAAAGAAATACTGACCATGGTATAAGAGAACTCTCAATATTAGATCTTTTCTAATTTTATATAACTACACATTGCATAGCTTAAATTTGTGGAAAACATGCATATTTTTTTTTACTTAAGTATTTCTTAAATTAATATTTTAGTGTTGGATTTTATAGTTTGGTGAATATTTTTAACATACATCCTGTCTTCAGTTGTTATAAGTATTTTAAATTTAATGATATATTTTGACATTTATACAGTATATTTTATGATCTTTTTCTAATATGAAATATAAGTAAAATTGATTTTCAAATATAAAATCATTTTCAAATAATTACTGAAAATTTATTGTTTGAATTATTTTGGAGTTTATTTCATTAAAAAAATATATAACATGATAAAAATATTTTTATTTCAGGTTTAGTTTATAGTTATGAAGTAGGTACTGTATATAATTATAGATATACATCCTCTGTTTCATTAAATGAAATTACTAAAGAAGAAGATTTTGCTAAAAATGTTGATTTTAAAATATCATCAGAAGTTCAATTAGTTCCAATATGGCAAGATAATAGGAATCCTAATGAAAAGCTTCTTAGATTAAAGGTAAAGTAAATAAATTTTTGATTAAGAATATTATAAAACTAAAGTAAAATTTGTTAATACATTAAAACAATAAAAAATAAATATTGACACTGCATGACATTCAGATGTAATGAACTCAAATGATTAAAAAGAAAATCAAACAAAAAGATTGCATATTATAGAGTTCTGTTCCTAGAGAGCTAAAAGAAAAATTGGATTTATATGATGAAATGGATTTACAGTAATACCTCAACTTACGCAAACCCGGAGTNATTTTTTAATGTTTGTTAACATATTTATTTACCTCATAAAATGCATGTTCTAATATTTTATTTATAGTTATGCATAAATATTAAATGAAACATTCAAGAAATTCTAAAATTTATAAGTGTTAATTTATTAATTACATTACAGTATTTAGAAGAATAGTCATGTGGTTTGATGATCTCTGTATACTCTGCAGATATGCATAAATTAACAAGTTTTTAAATACTAGATTTTTTATTTGTATAAAGACTTATTTCTTTGTTCCAGAAAAAAAAATTAAGTGGTAAAAATGATGAAATAAAAACTTGCACATTTATAATTTAACTGACTTTAGCTCTAGAATTTTTGTAATTCAGTATCAGAAGAAACATCATCTACTTCACTAAATTTATAATTTATTTTCAAATTTAGAATTTGTTCAATTTAGAAGTGAATCATAAATGGAATAGCTTCAACACAAAGACATAACCCTTATTTATGAGTATGTACTTTACAAGTATTTACAGCAAGTATAGGAAATGATACCCATCTCTTTCAATGCACTTACAATGCATTTTACCATGTTCATATCACCTTCCTAAAGCATTCTTGAATCTATTTTCATGACATCATTGGTTATGTTAACCATTAACTCTTCTAGGGTGTGTGTGTGGATTGCTCTGGTGGACTGCCTTTTAAATAGTTCCACAAAAGTCTTGGCTCAGGAGATCTTGGTAGCCACAGTTCTCCAGAAATGAATCTGTAAGTTTTATTTTTTCGGCACAGAAACCGGTTAACAACAGGATCAATAAGTACTACAATAGCTTCTCGGTAATTTCCTTTTTCGCGACAGTAAAACTTTCCTGACACACATAGGTTACACACAGAACATATAAATAGATACTGTACAAAATTTTAAACATGAATGAAATCGTCTAGAAGTTCTCTTTCTACTCCTTTCTTGCCTTCCAGCTCAAACTTCGATCACTTTTCTTCTTTGTTGATTTCATAGTTCGTCCAGTTCACTCTCGAGCCCATCTGACCTACCAAAATTCCCTTCCGTCGGCCTTATCATCCCTTTTATACCCTCTGCCTCCCCCTGCTGGGTTAATCGCCCCTTCTGGGTCTAACGGACGATGGAATGTTTGGGTGTGCAATAAACAAAGGGCATTATCTGATATAGGAAAAACATGGCGAACGATCGTCACAAATCTTCATCAAAAAATTCCTTCAGTATCTCTATAGTAGAGCCAGCAGTGTGACAAGTTCTACTATCCTCCTGTAGCCAGCAATCACACTCACCGTCTTGCAGCAAGGCAATGAACTTTTGGATAATTACTTAATAGACTTTGTTGATCACTTGATGGGCTTTAGCATTCAGAATGGTTAAAACCTTCACTATTTGCAGCACCTGTTTTCATATGATCAAGCACATGTCATAAATTGTTTCCAAATTAACAATCAGTTATGGTGTATTCAGATATAAACTATTATAGAATTGTAAATAAAATGTTTTTATTCAGGAAATAATTAGTGCTTCATAAAAATAGCAACCAACTGAACCTTAAAAGAAATTTCAGGATATTCTATTGTAAACGCTAAAGTTTTCGATCTTCCTCGGGATATAGCATTCTCCAAAATGGAATGCAGAAATGGAATGTTTTTAAGAATTATTTGAAAAAACGTATAAATGAGAATTTTTTTAAAGAATTCTATCAAAGAATTTTTTCTTTAAAATAGTTTAACTCGAATAAAAATAATTTCAAAATAATTTTTTTTAAATCAACTGTTTCCTTTGGTATAAAGATTGCCATGCATAAGAAAATTGTCCTTCCTCTTGAGCTAATAAACAATACGTTATACTGTAGTTATACAAAATTTTTAGAATATCAGATTATGTATAACAAAACAATAACAGTGATATGATGCATTAAATATCAGAGATACAAACATGCTACAGTGAAAGAATCAATGTGTATTTTTCCAACAATAAAACTGAGTAGATGATCAGTCTATAAATACAATCCTATTGCTTTCTTTTGAGAAATTTTCAGAAATCTCTTCTTGATACAATTATAAAGTATCTTCATTAAAAGATATTTAATTTTATTGATATTTTGGGCATGTGATAAAATATAATTTCAATGAAATTAATATTTTTTAGATATGAATTAAATTTAAAGGGACGAGAAAAAATGAATTCTGAAAAATTAGGAGACACACTTAGGGAAACATTGTCAAAATTGTCAAAAGGTAAACATTTTCAGGTTTAAATGTTTTATATTTGATTGAATAAATTTAAAATTTTTAATTCATAAATGAAATGCAGTTTTACATATGAACTGTTGATTTTGAAAGTGGGGCAAGTCCATTTTATGTTATTGCTAGATATTTAATGGTTTGCATTTGAATGAGTTTAATAGACTTAATAGTAAGCAGTAATAGACTTATTTTATATGTTTTTGGTTTTATTTCATGTAAATTTAATATGCAATAATGGCTATCTGTGTTAGGTGAAAAAAATCATGATTTTGGTATGTGCCAATGGACTTGCCTCACTTTCAAAAGCAATGATTTTCTTTGAATGGAATGTAATTATAATAACAAAAAATTAAATATTTTATTTATTTTCTTATTTATTTTATTTCAACATTTCATACTTCTTTTGAAAAGCTACACTAAAACAAAAATTAAATTTATTTTTATAAGTAAAAATAAATTAAATGAGAAAAAATATTCAGTAATAAGTTGCATGCATATAATTATATTTCTTAGTTTAGATGGTGCAGATTTTTAAAATATTCATGATGAACAGGTAGTATATAGGTAATAAATCCATCATTTATACTAATATTATAAAGAGGTAAAGTTTGTAAGTTTAGATGTAGGAGGTAATCTCCGAAACTACACATCCAATTTCAAAAATTCTTTCACCAATATTTAGCATGGACCTTCAGGGTGGACATAGGCTGTATATTATTCCGTTAAGCATTCATATAAATTAAAAGATATCATCTAGATAAATGTTATATTTTTGGTGTCAGTAGGTGAGGAGGGGCAAGACACATAAGTATATGAGATAGGTAACCATGCGGCGCAGTCACATGGTTGGCAAGATATGCAGTGCACATGTCAGAACTTGTGATATATAAAATTACATGTCCTGATTGATTCATCATCGCCCAGAGCAAACCACTGAACCTATAAATAGATGAAATTTGGTACAGAGTTAGGGTACGTCATAAAAATGCACACTAAAAAGGGATTTTTCAAAATTCCCCCATGGAGGGAGAGGGAGAGGATTAAGACTTAACATGAAGAATGTCTTCTACTGTACTATTTTAGATGCAATTTTTTGTTTTTATAGTAACAACTAATGTTGAGAATCTTAGTGAAGTGTTGAGGGAGGGTTATTTCTATCAAATTGCAACTTCTGCACAGGTAACAGCTAGTATCTTTATATTTTTCTTTAGAGTGGACATGTCTCACTTTCAAAATCAACACACAATAAATATCGTTGATAGTATAAATTACTAGTAACAAATTTATACTGATATTAAAAGATATTTATTGTGAATTGATTAAAAAGCTGTACTCTACCAGACAAACATACAATCCTCTGCTTATTGAATTCATTGTCAAGATATTCTTAAATTGGGAAATTGAGGGTACAATCTCATTCATATGATATTTTGGTCAATTTCTACATCTTAGCAACATTGTAGTTCTATGAAATTTAATGTAAGAAAATACAAATGTTTATTTTATATTAAAATTAATTTAAAAATTAAACTATAATTTGAATAAAGTAAACTTCTCAAAATCTCAAGTTATCTAATAATCAGTTTTATTATATCAAATAGGACCCTTTTTTAGATAAATACCATTTAATTTAAAATAATTATTTGAAAATATTTAGAAATATTGGAAACATCAAAGAATATGATTAATGTAATTGAAAACTCAGTTGATATTTACAAATCTTTTCTATTAACTAATTGCACAATCAAGCAATCAAAATTATTATAATATATAATATAAGAACTATATTATTATAT